GGCGGAAGACATCTTTTTGAGGTGCTGTCTTGCGACCGCTGTCTGCTGGCCAAAGGGAGGCATCGAGTACGACGGAGATGAGCGCTTTGAAGCTCTCATCGCCGATGCTGTACAACTGCGCGAAGATTTCCGTAGGGTTCGACGTGAACCGGGAGGCGGTCAGTCTGCGGGCAGAGCTCTGCCGTTGGATGAGGAGGGCTGTAAGCTGATCCACAAGAGGGAGAGCGCCTTTACTCCCGGTAAGAAGTTCGTATGCTTCGGTGACCTCCGTGGTAGAGAGTTGGCGTTGCTGATTGAGTGCAAGCCGAGCTCGGTCGCCCCTATCGGCATCGCCGGTCTCTAGGTATTTCTGCAGTGCTTCCACAGGACTTTGACCTCCTGCCTCATGGCCTGCGAGTGCGAGCCAGCGCTTCTTGACGTCTCCATCCTGAGGGTCGATCTGAGATGCTTCTCTCAATATACCAGCGGCCTTGGCGTTCTCGCCAGCTATGACAGCCTGATCTGCCTTGATCAGTAATTCTGCGATCCTCGCTTGTCCGGATGTCGAGGTCATATCGAGCCATTGGGATGTATGGCGAGGTCAATGGCCGTCTGTGGCGGTTATCCTGTGACTTCCGGGTCTATTTCCGGCCGTGGGGGCGGCTGTGGCTTTTGCGGGGAAGTGAGTGTTTCACCTCCAACCAGGCAAACAGCAACGGCGACGAGTGAGTGCATCCGATGGACCAACAACCTGTTCCCTCCTTCCACGTCTCGCCTCGTGTCTGTTGTGGCTACCTCCTTCCAGTGCGCGCCTCTCATCCAAACCGTCAATCAACGACAATGTGATCTCGTGCCTCTGGACAGCACCAGAATGGCTCCCTCCACCACCTCCCACTGCGAGCACCTTACTCACCCATCCCCACTCACCACTGGTCTCGCCGCCGTCCTCTTGGTTGGTATCCTGGTGTCCTATCTTCCTCAGCACCTCAAGATCCTGTCGCGCCGCTCCTCCGAAGGTCTCTCGCCCTGGTGGGTCTTACTTGGCGCGCTGAGCAGTATCGCCGCGCTAGGCAACATCCTCACACTACCGGCGAGTCGTCAGGACATCGGATGCTGTCAGGAGCTTGGCAAGGGAGAGTGTGCGGCGGCGTTGTTGGGTGTGGGGCAGATTGGGTGCCAATGGACGTGCTTTATGTTCATGTACGTTGGTCACAAGACGCGGAGCCACTTTCTGGACTGATACCATTGGCAACAGCGTTATGCTCTTCCTCATCTTCTTCCCCTCGACCACAACGACAGCCGATCTTAGCTCCTCAGTCAGCTCCCTCACTTCGTCACCACCGCCCAAACGCCGCGACGCCGTCATAGTCGCCTCCATCACGGTACTAGCCCTCCTGGTCGTCGGCATAACGAGCGTAGCCCTCGTTGCCTCTGATCCCGACCACACTCAAGCGTGGGCAAACTTCCTTGGGACGGTTGCTGGCTTGCTCGCCACCATTCAATATGTACCACAGATATGGTATACGTACCGCTTGGGCGACGTCAAGAGCTTGAGCGTGATCACAATGCTGATTCAAGTGCCCGGCGCGTTCTTGTTCGCTTTCAGTCTGTGGCAGAGGGTCGGATGGGATGGGTGGAGTACGTGGGCCGTGTACGTCGTTACCGGGATACTTCAGGGTAATCTACTTGGTTTGGCGATATTCTATTACATACGGCATGGGCGCATGGGAAAAAGCAGTGCTGGAGAAGCTGACGATGGCTTTACTGGCGTCGACGATGGGGATGGTGCCACAGCTGGAGCAGAAAATGCTGACGAGCGGACTACACTGCTGAACCGGAGAAGAAGTGAGAACGGGACCAGGACGAGCAGGAAGAGTCTGCCCATTGCGAACGGAACGCATACGAGCAATGGAAGTCAACGGCAGCTGAGTATGCTGTACGCTGCGACACCACCCGAGCACGACTCGGACCGGAGCTAGGCTTGGAGATAGCTGGCGGCCACACAAGACCGGCAATCAGATACTTAGCTAACGTATCCGCGGCGTACGACCCCTGGTAGCATGCCTCGAGTCACGTGCATCGCAGATCGTGCTAGGCTTGGCAGAGGTCAAGATGCCAAGCATTCCACGAGACTCGCTTAGTGATATGCGGACTTTCACCCTCTATCTGCCAGGCCCCCGGCTTGCTTTCTCACTTGTCATAGAATCCTCATACCATTCCGGTAGATCCGGGTACAGCGCCATTGTCCTGGCCACGGCACAACACTACGAGGTATGGTATGAATCTTCATTGTCTTCTTGTTGCGGCTTGTCCATTGACCTGTGCCGGATGCGGCGACTCTGACGGCGAAGAGCGCGATGTAGACAAAGAATACCCAGCGACTGAGGTCAGAACGCAAGTCTGTCGCTATCATGGTGTTCCTTCTACTCCAGGCTCGAATGTTCCACGAAAGTCTCCCGATACTGCACGAACTGCCGCGGAAAAGAAGCGACCATGTTCTCCGGAGCCGCATACTCAGACTACCAGGCTGGTGCACCAGCCGCGCCAGCGCCTGTCCATGATCCACGCCGCCCCAGCGCTCTGGCTATGAGACGTCAACAGGAGCCAAGTACCTTGCAACCGACCGGACCCGCACCTCTGTCCAGAAACATGGTGGCACAGCAGCCAACTGGCACTGTGTTCAATGAGGATCTCGACGACCGCTTCAGCTTCGGCCCCGAAACTCCTCGAGAGGGTCGTCGAGAGAAGGCCGCTAGGCAGCTTCAAGAGTCACCCCTCACTTCTGCAAAGCTAGAGGCGGCTATGCATGAGTATGCACCGATTTTAGTGCAGGGCTACCTGGAGTTGAACAAGGAAAAGGATACGCTTATCGAAGATCTGGGCGAACAGCTCTTGAAAGTAGAAGCAAAGTATGAAGACCTGAGGAAAGACCTGTGGAAGCCTTCCAAGCCGTCAAAGCAGCTACAGCCGCATGAACGAGGTCTGGGTCTTGGGGTGAACGTTCAAGGAGGGAAAGGGCAAGCATGGGATGAAGACTACGATATTTCACCCAAAGCCGCCGAGCGGGCTTCGGCACGAAGGAAGGCTGGCCGGGGTATGTCGATTCCGTCGACTGACAGCAGCGACGACAGCAGTGTCGACACATTCGCTTCCCTGGCGCAGGCAACGGATTTCTCGGTTGCTCCCCGCAAGGAAGCAAGCCAGCCCGCTGCTTCGGAGGAGCTGAGACAGAGGCCGACGCCCACCACCGCCAACAACGGAGTGAAGTCAGTATCGGGCAAGCTAGGAATCACCGCCAACGAGCAGCTGCTGGAGCTAAAAGTCAAGCTTCGCCTCATGCCCGCTATCGTACTGCTTTCTCAGCCTTTGAGTCTGGAAGCCAAGGCACCCGCCTCAGCATCCTCAGTCTCGGATCTGCGTGCCGTGAGATCTGCGCTGAAGTCCGTTCGATCTGCACTCTCCCTCGTGCGAGGCGAAACCGGTGGCAAAACACCCGCTAGTCGCGCCTTCATGGGGCTTTGCCACTTCTACATGGGCATCTGCAAGCTCAGGAAAGGCGGCATCACACGAGCAGAAGACTGGTTCGCCGCTGCCTCCGTGGACGCCGCCGGAGTCTACCCCGAGGCCGAATGGGCGGAGCAGTGGCTGGAAGCTTTCCTCGGTGCCGCAAACTCGGTTTCCGCGTCGCCCCTCAAGGAGGTCCCCATGAACATCTTCACTGGTCTCTGGCAGCGCTCGAGAGCCAACACCTTTGGCTCCGCGCCGAATTCCGCGCGGAGCCTGCGTGCTCGGACTGCTTCGAGCGGGAGCGCGCGGAGCCCGACCGCGGACGAGGAGCCTCTGAGCGCTGGGTCGTGGGTGAGCGGCGTGTGGCAGAGTGTCAGACAGATGGTCACCGATGGTGGGACACAGAGTTATCGGCCCTTGGAGTATTTGCGCGAGGAGAACGAGCGCTCGCCCACGTATGCCGATCAAGCCTCTGGCGGTCGGCCGTCTCCACGACTTGTTGCTGCCTTTGTAAGAGGGGACCTGGACGAGAACGAGCGAGCTTGGTCTCCTGTCGGCGGGGCCGGTGCCAGTGCGGACGGTTCTGTCATGTACGATATAATGGATCGCATCGGAGTGGGGAGCCCGCCGTCGTTGCATTACTCAGACCGCGACGGGGCCAACGCCGCGCCTTTGCCTTCCTCTCCGCCAAAGAGAAGGTACCGCATCACAAACCCGGACCCGAGCTCCAATGGCTCCAAGCAAAGTGCTGCCGTTGCAGCACCTGCCTCCCCGCCGAAGAGAAGATACCGCATCGCCAACCCGGACCCGAGCTCCAACGGCTCCAGCAGTGCCGACGTCGTCGTCGTAGCCCCGCCGCCGCCTTCACGCACCGCATCGTACGAGCCCGCCGTGTCGCCTTACAGCCACCCATCACCCAACCCACCACTCAACGGCTCCACACCCCCGACCTCCCCCACGCATTCCAAGAGCCGATCCCTCACTTTCTCCCTGCCTTTCGGCGGCAGTCCCACGCCCAGCCCTCCAACCTCGTCATCGTCTCAAGTCTCACCCACGCTGTCGATAGATAGTGCCACGGGGTTGGTGAAGCGCGTCGCGAGGCGGGTGTCGACGATAGCTACGGGGCGGGACGCGAAACGGCTGGATCTGGTGGAGATGGCGGAGGAGGGACATAGTCCATATAGATCTACCTTCAGGCCGATTGGTGAGGGGGAGAAGGTGGCGGCACTGAGGGAGAGAACGAGGAGTGCAGAGGATATGGTGTGAGGCTGTGGCGTGTGTTCTGGACACGAGAGGTGATGGCGAGGATTTAGTCCATGCAAGGCGATTTCTTGCGTTGAGGGTCTTCCAGCAGTGATAGGAGCACGTCTTGGCTATCTTGTGCCAGCGAGACTTAGTATTCTTCGCAGTTCTCCGAAGGCAGTCCTCGGTAGCTCGGGGCTAATCATGAGCCTTAATAATTCTCTGCGCACGCGAGTCATGTGATCTCGACTGCTTTCGAGCTCTCGACTTTGGGCAAAGTGTCCGAGTGGTTATGGAGCTGCGTTTAGGTACACTAAACACATTTTCCGCAGTGGCTTTGCCTCGTGGGTTCGAATCCCACCTTTGTCAACAAACCTTTCCTTTTGCATGGTTTTGCTTAGGGTCGACGAAATGGGATGGGTGTTGGAGGGCGGTGGAAAGCTTTTACTTCGACAATCTTACTAGGTATACCGTACTCCCGGCTACTTTCAAGCAGCTTTTTACAAGCGTGGGATCTCCAGCCACCCCCGATTCCAAAACCCGCCGTTTCACAACCACCTACTGAATGAGTCCAACACGTAGGTCCCGATCTTTCACAGTGGACAGGTACATTGGCGCCACATACATTCGTGGTCCTCTCCACCCTGGACCTCTCAAGTACGCAAGACAGCGGCGCGATTGAGAGACATCCCTTGCCGGCGTTGTCGTATGCCAGTTGATCTCGTCCCACAGCGTCGCTCAGAACACGGAGCGAGGTCTGAACGAGCCATCGAATGCCCAAGCCTGACGGTGGAGAGCTGCTGCCCTCGAATACTCGTCTCGCAGCGAGCAACAATTGTTGGCCCCCTGGCATCGCCTCTACACTCGCACCCGTAGCGGCGTGCCTCGTAGATAATTCAAACGTGGCTGGTCCGTGGCCAGTCGGGCCGAAATTGATGCGTCAACCCATCGAACGCTGATACAGCAGAGCTAGCCCTCTGGGTGATTTCCGCGAGGTACGTTCCACAAGTCCGAGTCCTTGCTGAGTTGGCGGGTGCGTCTATACGGTCCGGGGACGTCTAGGTATCGCGAGATGATGCCGGTAGAGAGTAATCGACAAAGGGGTCGTCGATCGAACGGCAGAATAAGTTGATAAGACAGATCGCTATATCGGTGTCATGTCTTGTCTTTCCTGATGGAGAAAGCGCGCAGCCGTTTTTTGACAGGCTGGTGGGTCGATGGTGTTGGATTTGGTGTGCTCGTGGATACTGAGCTGCCACTCGAGCTGGCAAGACTGCCAGCTGAGGTTGACCTTTGCCTGGTCTCCGCAAGCACTTGGTCCAGCGTCAGGCCGTCTTGCAAGTGGGTGGCATTGTTGTTGTTGTCGAAGATCTCGACGAATTTCGAGGAGGTCATGTTGGATCGTTCGGGGGTTACACTTCCAGCTATCGTTTGAAGGATACGCTGTTGATATTGCAGTGGTGGATTTCGTAGTCGGAGAAGGAATTTAAAGAAACTGAGGTGTGGCGCGAGAGACATATATCAGCAAACAAATTTAGACCTTGGTACCGTTCACGCGACAACGGGCGTCACGAGGTCTTGCGAAGTTCCTGCTCGCGCCACGCCAGCTGTCCTCACAATAGAACTAATAGCCCCATGAACCCCCGGAGTGGGTTGCTTCGCGTCGCAAACAACGTCAGCGGAATGATGGGATGGAGTTGTGACTTCTGTCGCGGCACAGTCGGGCGGGAGTGTGGCACCTTGCAAAGTATAGCCATACCAGAGCGGTGTTATGACGATGGAAGCTCGTCTCGGGAAGGTGTAGGCGGCCACAGAGCGGGTCCGATCCGCGTTTGCCGTGCCCGAGCCACCCTCGTCCGACGGAAACTTGACCCGGGCTTCGGTCTGTTGCCAGTTGCCACACCTCATGCACACACCCACCTGCACCCCTACGACAACAACCATGGAAGCGGCAACACCGGCCTGTGTGGTGGCAACGCGGCATACCGGCAGCGTCGCGAGGTTTTCCCGACTGCAATAAGAACGCCATACCCTGGACTTTAAGCTGCTGCCTGCACCTACATCATCAGCAAGACGATTGCCGCGAGCCGATCTGCAATCGTAAGCGTCCAACGGCGAGACCGAAGCCCATCTTCCCGGAGACGGCGCTGTCAATGTGTTGGACGGGAGGACAGACGATCGATATTGGGCACGACTGACGTATATTCCGGGCCATCCTAGGCTGCAGACCTCTAGAAACTTCCATTCATTGTGTGGACATGAAGGGCCGTTGTTGTCGAAGAAGACGCGCATCCGCTCCGGACCAGGCTCTCATAGCCAGCTGCTCGACTGCTGCCAAGCATACGGACGGCGGAGGAGTCATCATGCCAAAGGCCTGGCAAGGTCGACTCCCATAGTTTGCGTTCAATGCAAGCAGACGAGCGAAGCACCCCCGAGAAGACTGACATTCACCAAAGCGAGCACGAAGTCTTATGTGCCAGCTGCTTGCTATCGATGTGAATCATCCGACTCATCTCTATTGGAAGCTGCAGAAATCAACCCAGCGCCGTGACGACCGCAGTACAGAGTCGCGCGACATTTTTGCCCATGGTCACGTGAGATCTATAAATCCTGCGGCCTCGGATGCGCCAGCTACTGTGACGGCAGCCCGCTCAAAGATCTGACGGCACACATGCACGCATCCACGCCCTTACTGTGACCACATCGCCATACGCCTGACAACGCGAAACAAATCAGCACCATTTGTCACTTTGTCTCGCTCGGAATTGTGATCACTGCTGCCCTCGGCCTCGATGCCCTTAGTTCCGGATGTATTCCTCGAATCCTTCGAACCGCGGCCGCCGCCAACACCACATGCATACTCTTGGCATTTCTGGTACGCTCTCTGAGTACGCTCGGTAGGACGACCACGAAAGATTAGAATGGCGGTTCACTCAGATGCAGCTGCCATGCGTCCACCACCGTACCCGTCCGCTGTAAAGACACTGTAGGCTGTCCCTCCTCACCGCATTACCATCCCTCGCCTCCCAATCTCTTTCACCAGCATGCATCAATCAACATTTGCGCTCTCGTTGTTCGTGGGTGCTGTGGTAGCCTTCCAATGCTCGTCATTTAACACCACCATTTCTGTCTCAGCACCGTCTTACCAGCCCGCTTTCGCACCGTTCGCAAACCATTACCAGTCCGTCGCCTTGCTCAACGCTGTCACTGCGCGGGATGCCTCCACTGGTGCTTCGCCGTTCAAAGGGGCGATCAACGTCGTAGAGACCTTCAGCATCAGCGCTGAGTACTGCACGCCCACGGCGAATCAGCACCCCGCCCATCTCGACGTCCAAATACTCACGCATGGCCTTGGCTTCGACAAGTCATACTGGAAGTTCGGCGGCGATTCGAGTCAATACAATTACCTCCGCGCAGCCACCGATGCGGGTTATGCGACCTTGTCGTACGACCGTATCAGCAACGGCGGGTCCACGGTCGTAGATCCCTACACTATCCAGCAGGCTCCGGTAAGCCTTGAGCTAGCAGATCAACTATAACATCGTGACGGCTAACACCGTATACCTCGGAAAGATGGAGCTGGCGGCACTGGAAGCCATCACCAGTAGATTCCGCAACGGCACCATCCACTCCTCCGTCCCGAAACCCAGTGGCAAAGTCTTCCACGTCGGGCATTCGTACGGCTCGATTCTCAGCCACGCGCTGGTAGCCAGCAACCCGTCGCTCTCCGACGGCATCGTGCTCACCGGCTACTCGACCAACACTACGTGGGTAGGAGAATTCCTGATCAGCACCAACTTCCATCTCGCCAAAGAAAACGAGCCTCAGCGCTTCGGCAACCGCAGCACAAGCTTCGTGTAAGTCCCCGTCCTCCAAACCAAATCCGAACCCCTCCCAACTCTTCGACTCGACACCGCGGCGTCCAGAAAGATCCACTCTCCGTACTGACTTGACGTTTGCACGCCAGCACATGGGCCGACGAACTAGCCAACCAATACATCTTCTTCTCCCACCCGCACTTCGACCCCGCCGTTCTCGCCTACGCCGAAACGCACAAATACCCCTTCAGCGTCAGCGAAGTCCTGACCGGGGGCGTGGTCCCCTACAACGCGGCCAACTTCACCAAACCGGTCTTGGTAAGTCGTCCACTACTTTCTCTCAAATATTGCCGTACCCGAGACCTTGTACCCGACTGAACGAGTCATTAGATTATATCCGGCGACGCCGACCTCAATCTTCTGCGGCGGCGACTGCCACGGGATCCTCGAGCAAGCCGCGCCGTTGTTTCCCGCCGCGAAGCCGTTTGAGACCTATGTGCAGCCTGATACGGGGCATGGGATGAATTTGCATTATAACGCTAGTGGGGTGAGTTATACCTTACCCTCTGAGTGGGAGCGCTTGATCAGTCGTTGCAGGACCTTGCTAATGCTAAAGGCTTCAGACGTATGCTGTGATTCTGGATTTTCTGAAGAGGAATACTTGAGGTTGGAAAGTCGACGGAAGATCCGCCTATGCTTCCATAGAGAATAGACCACCTGCTAGATATGGCTGAGGGGAATTGGTGATGGGCGAGAGTGCCTTGCGAAAGCAATATCTATTCCTGACGGTGATTCTTATATCCTGCCTCACACTATCGCATCGTCGGTAGCGCACACTTCGTAGCGGTCTCCCAGTGAGAGCCACCATGAGTGGCAGTTCTACTGACCTTGTATACGAAGAGTGCATGTGAGTAATGCGGAAGACATCGTAAGAGTGGAGATGGTAATTGGGGTATCTAGTTCTACATTCGCGCCCAAAAGCCCAATCATACCAGTATCAAGCCAGCGTATTCCCTTCGCGGCAACCCCTGAGCATGTGAGACGCCAGAACACCTACGCTTGGAAAATGCAAGCCACGGCCGCCTCGCGTCCATATCTGTACAGATCTCATTACCACTCCCCCGCTCCCCTGCCTCAGCGAACAAGCTCGGCAATCTTGCCCGCAACTGCACTCGGGTACCCCCTCCCCAATGCCTCCCTCACCACCGCCTTCGCAGCCGGCCGATCCTCCGCGGCAAGGTACGCTCGCACCATGACCTCGTACGTACTCGGCTCCCTCCGTCCCACTGGCACGCGCGCAAAAGCCTCCTGAGCCTTGACGATGTTCTTCTCCAGCGTCCAGCCATGAATCAGCGCATTGGCAATGTACGGAGTGAACTCCACGCCCCGACGCTGCATATCCGCGAGCAAGGCCCCGGAGTCCGCGATAGCGTGGTTGGCATTCAGGCTCTCGAACATGGCCTGGTAGACGCAGGGCTGGAGCCGGACGCGGCTGGTGGCGGCGTCGACGACGGCGTCGAAGAGCTGGCGAGCGGCGGGGAGGTCGTGGAG